TTTTTTAATTTGTACATTTAAGGGGTTATTGGTGGGTAAATCCGTTAGGGATAACTGAGCTCTCTGTGAGAGGTAACCCGGTAACTAAACATCGCCAATGGGATAAAAATATGGTAGAATGAATGAATGAATGAAATATACTTTATTGTACACAAACAAAGGATATTGAATAATCAACAAAAAATAATACAAAACTGTACAGTAGGTGGCCTTATCGCTTATAAGTCTAGACATCGTCAATGCCTTCAATTCTCTACCCTGCATGCCATCATGGGGGGGCTTTCTTACCACCAAGTGCCCCCTTATCTCCAAGGCGTTATCGCAGACTACTTGCGCGATAGGTACATGTTATATAGGGACAAAACAGCAACAAGATCCGGAGGGAAATTCACTGCGGAGTTCCACAGGGATCTGTTCTCGGCCCTTTACTATGGAACGTGGCCTATGATGCTGTCCTGCGTGTCGATCTCCCCTCTAATGTGAACGTCGTTTGTTACGGATGACACATTAATAGTCGCTATCGGGGATACCTTCGAGAGGACCAAAGACCTCGCCGAGTTTGTCGTGGTAACCATCGTCGCCAAAATTCATGAGTTGGGTCTAGAAGTAGCGCCACATAAGACCGAGGCGATGTGGTTCCATAAAATGCCACGAGGCAGGGAACGACCCAACTCATGTGTCCGTGTGGGTGGGTCTGAAATCAGGGTAGGTCGGTACATGAAGTACCTGGGCCTAATCCTAGATAGTCGCTGGGGTTTCGAAGAACACTTCGAGCGCCTAGTCCCCCGGATCGAGAGGATAGCGGGTGCAATGCACAGACTGCTACCTAATCTTGGAGGACCAAGAGAAGAAGTTCGCCGCCTCTTTGCTGGGGTTGTACGATCCGTAGCCTTATATGGGGCACCTGTTTGGTCAAAAAGGTTCGCCATCCAACGTTGCAGGTCTAAGATCTACAGTGTCCAGAGGCGGATGGCTATACGGATCGTACGAGGGTACAGAACTATATCCTTTGAGGCGGCAACTGTCCTGGCTCGCTTTCCACCTCTGGACATACTGGCGGAAATGGACGCAAGGGTGTACCACCGAATTCGCGCCCTTCGCCAGAGTAGTGGCAGCGAGCCAGAAGAGGCGCTCGAGTCGATCAAACGGCAGGAACGGCATTTTGCTTTCTTGGTCTGGCGCGCTCGGCTCAGCCAAGAACACTACGCACATAAACGCGTCATGGAAGCTATCCTGCCAGTCTTCGAAGCCTGGATGCAGCGACAGGAAGGCAGGCTCACCTACAGACTTACACAGATAATCACTGGGCATGGATGCTTTGGTGATTATCTGTGTAAAATCGGACGTGAGGCGACGGCAAATTGTTTCCACCGCGATGGAAGCTACCAGGAATCCCCAACCCATACCCTGGCGGTATGCCCAGCATGGGAGACAGAGCGGAGTATCCTGGTAAGCCTCATTTTTTTTTTTTTTTTTTTTTTTTTTTTTTTTTTTTTTTTTTTTTTTTTTTATGGGAAAAAAGCAGCAAACGAGCAGGAGGCTCACCTGATGGTAAGTGATCACCGCCGCCCATGGACATCTGCTACACCCGAGGGCTTACAAATGCGTTGCCGGCCTTTTAGGAATGAGTACGCTCTCTTCTTGAAGGTTCCCAGGTCGTAACGGTTCGGAAAGACCGCCGGCGGCAGCTGGTTCCACAGAGTGGTTGTGCGAGGCAGGAAATGCCTTGAAAATCGCGCTGTTGTGGAACGCTGGACATCGAGGTGGTGTGGATGAAATTTTTGGTTTTGGCGCGATGTCCGATGGTGAAATTCAGCCGCTGGGATCAATCCAAACAATTCCTCGGAACACTCCCCGTGATAGATGCGGTAGAAGATGCAGAGTGACCCAACATCTCTACGCATAGCCAAAGGATCAAGCTGATCGGAAAGACCTTGATCGTCGATAACCCTAGCTGCCCTACGTTGGATGCGGTCAAATGGAAGAAGCTGGTAACAGGGGGCTCCCGCCCAGAGGTGAGAGCAGTACTCCATGTGGGGCCGAATTTGCGCCTTATAAAGGTTTAGGCGTTGAGCCGACGTGAAGTACTGTCTCGCCTTGCTGAGCACACCGAGCTTCTTTGAGGCCAATTTGGCCTTACTTTCCAATTGACCGCGGAACTGGACATTGCTCGAGATTTCGACGCCAAGTATTCCGATACTAGCTGTGACAGACAGGGGAGTGTTCTCAAAATGAGGAGTCACGACAAATGGGGACTTTTTAGCGGTTAACGCGCAAACTTGTGTCTTATCGGGGTTGAATTGGACTAAATTTAGTCGACCCCAGTCTGAGACTTTTGTTAACAAAGTTTCGACTTCAGACACAAGTTTGTTCCGGCTCTCGTAGACGTTTTCCCGAGAAATGTTAGCACGGCCTGTGTACGAAACATCCACAGTGCTATCATCCGCATAGCAATGAACGCTGCTGATTTGCAACATATCATTGATATGCAGAAGAAACAAAGTGGGGGACAGTACGCAGCCTTGTGGAACACCAGCATTGACAAATTTAGGATCAGAGCATGCACCGTCGACGACGACTTTGATGCTCCGATCTGCCAAAAAGCTAGTGATCCAGTTGCATAACTTCCCGGGAAGCCCATAGGAAGGCAGCTTCGAAGAAGTGCTTTGTGCCACACCCGATCAAAGGCTTTCGCTACGTCCAGACTGGCTGCAAGCGCCTCCCCCTTGCTCTCAACTGCTTCTGCCCATCTGTGTGTCAGGTAAACCAGAAGATCACCGGCTGAGCGACCTCGACGAAAGCCGTACTGGCGGTCGCTAATCAGCTGGTGCTCCTCTAGGTACCGCAGGAGCTGGCAGTTAATGATGGTCTCCATTATCTTGGAGAGCAAGGAGGTGATGGCTATAGGCCTGTAGTTGGACGGATCCGAGCTGTTGCCTTTCTTAGGGATCGGGTGCACTAAAGCGGCCTTCCAGGTTTTCGGGAATACGCCTAGAGTATAGGAGAGCCGGAAAAGACGCGTCAAAACCGGTGCCAACTCTGGAGCACATGTCTTCAACACGATCGGAGGGATGCCATCGGGCCCACTCGACTTATGAATGTCCAAGGAAAAGAGTGCTCTGCGAACTGCACTTTGCCGAAATTGAACCTCCGGCATCGTAGCATCGCAACGCGGGATTGTTGGTGGTAATTTTCCTCGGTCATCCAAAGTCGAGTTGGACGCGAAGAGAGAGCCCAGAAGATCGGCTTTCTCCTTCGCGGCATGGGCCAGCGAGTCATCCTCCGTGTGCAGGGGTGGAAAAGAAGGCTTACAGAAATTTCCCAAGACAGCTTTGGCGAGAGACCAAAACGCACGTGTTCCCGTTGGGAGACGCGCCAATCTCTCGCCAATTCTGCCAATGTGTTCCGATTTCGCCTTAGCAATAACACTTTTGAAGGACCTAGAGGCAGAGTTATACGTCTTTTTTAAAGCGCTGGTTTTTTACATCACTAGACGACGAAGCGTCAGCCCAAGCCTGGTAGCATTCCCGCTTTCGGCGTAATGCCAACTTACAGGAGCGACCAAACCAAGGCTGCGACTTGCCACCAATGGGCACTGCAGAGAACGGAATAAAGAGTTCCATACCTTGAAGCACCACATCAGTCACTGAGTCAGCACGACGTCTGGATCATCCGGCGAGAAGCAAATCTGCCCCCATGGGTAGGACGCAAAGAATGACCGCATCCCATCCCAATCTGCTGACCTATAATGCCATACGCGGCGGCAGCCCGCAAAGTGAGGCCGCGTTAAGCGCGTTATTGGCACTGTGCTTCGGACAAGACAGTGGTCCGACGAGCCGAGGGGAGGATCGACGGAAACCAAGTATCCGTCCGGATGAGAGGTCAACAGAAGGTCCAACAGGGAAGGTGTATGATCCTCCACATCTGGGATTCGCGTTGGCGAGGTAACCAGTTGTGTCAGATCATATGTCAATGCGAAATCGTGAGCAGATCTCCCCGCGTGGTCGGTGGTACGAGATCTAAGCCACTCGGCGTGATGAGCGTTAAAGTCGCCGAGAATTACGATCTCCGCGGATGGGATCTGCTGCAACACGGAATCTGTAGCCATTTGTATGTGCTCAAAGAGTCGGTCAGTTTCGGCATTACCGCTATGGGACCTATACAGACACGCGTAGATTCGCGGATGGTCGTCGCAGTCTACGCGTAGCCAGAGTATGGATAGGTCCCGTCCTTCAAGAGCATCGAGGCGACGAGAGCATATATCCTCTCTGACGTACACGCACACCCCAGCCCGCGGCACAAAGGAATGTTCCAGTTTGTACCCCGGGTAGGAGAGGAATGAGGTGTCAGCTGGAGAAGATATCTGCGTCTCGGTAAGGAAGAGCAAGGCCGGCTTCGCCGTCTCAAGATGGAAGTGGACGGCGTTTAAGTTGGAATTTAGCCCCCTTATGTTGCAAAAGTCCACGGCATGCGAGGAAGAGGTAGCCTTATGTTGCCTGCTCCGTTTGCCCCGAACAGGTGTAGAGAGCGCAAAATTGCCCCCCCCCCCCCCCCCCCCCCCAGAATACGAAGGGCAGCCTGGGCATTCACGTTCAGACGTTGTACGGCCTGCGCGTGGATGTCCAGAGAGGGATTCTCCACCGCGCTGTATGCTGGTGGTACCCTCCTGGGGTAGAAAATTTAAATTTCGCGCAGACATTATGGGGGAGGAATGGGGAGAGGGCGTCCGGGACTCTCACAGACCAAACGAAACGCGACAGCATAGCTGCCACTTGACGTCGGTTTCCAGTGAGAGAGTGGTTCTTCCCCGGGCGTGCCGGCCCAATTCGGCTGCTACCCGAAGGTGCGCAGCATGGCACTACCACTAGTTGGGTTGACTGACTGCACTGGTGGAATAATCTCTGTCACAAGATTATCCCACCAGCGGGCGATGGGGTCGTCACGTCCCGACGCCGACTAAACCTGGACTAAACCTTTCCTTACCAGCAGTTGTATCGGCGATGTTGAGTCGAGATGCAGCATGGAGGGCCGTAACCTCCTTCTTCGAGACCGTGATTGTCAAGAAGGAGGCTGCTGAGAGGGATCGAGAGAGAACAGATCCCTCTCGGAGACGGGGTCACCGAGACGAGGGTACACCTCGTTACGGTCCTCCATACATAAAAGGTGTTCCCCTACCGGAAACGGGGCCTCAGGGATCGCGGGCAACTGGGCCGCTTTAGGTCAGTACAGCGAACCTAAGGGCGAACCAATGGCTTGAAGTAGGTTCAAGCTATCGTGGTTGCACTACAAGGTTGGGTGATTATATGACTGGGACGAGGCTACTTAAGCCAAGCCAAGGGGGACCGCGGTAGTGTTCCAAGTGGAGATCCCGTGACCCCCCATAAAAGCTGATGGCGACCACCGTGGGGTTTTAGTCGGTGTGAGTCCGACATAACCTGACTTACCCTATGTGGGAGGCCAGGCATCCATTGAATTGATAACAGAAAGTAATAAGTCAAAATATAAATACATATTAACAAATTATACACATGCAAACATCATATATAAATATGTACGTTAAAACTAATGTATATAATATATATATATATATATATATATATATATATATATATATATAGATATAAGTTGACAACATCGAGGAATGGAACACAATGATTAAGGAGGCATAAAGTATTTAAAAATATTTGTACAATATCGGTTTATTAATTAATGTAATTACTACCATATTCTTTTTCATAACCTCGTTCATAGATACGAATTGATGATGCGTTTTTAAAGGACTCCTAATAAATGGAATCTAAAAAAAAAGGAAAAAAAAAGTGTGCAAATGATCGTGGCACAAACTGCGGCATCCTGTTTCCGGGCCGCTCGATTACCGATAGTAATGTATATATTTTTAACACCATCTGAAAGTAGACATTTCAAGGAACAAAAGGCCGACTTTTTAAAAAAAGCTGAGATTTTGACGGGACAATTTTCGATTGAACATTAGGGTGCTTTTTACATATTGAGTCACAATAAGGTGAAAAATAAATATTTCAAATCAAATAAATGACAGTGTATTTGGGACATAATAAGGTTTTCAAGAAATTTGGTGAAAAGAGAAATTTTTACAAAGTGTAAATACAAAAATTGTAGATCTTTTTGTTACGTACCTTTTAACTTTTTTCTAATACGAGTAGGAATTTTTATCCTCACCGTTTTTTATCCTTAAAAACTCACCCCCTTCACTTCCCGACCTCAGATCGTTCGATCGATCGATGTTTTGATATCCTTTTAGTTATATTCTCTTCGTTTTCTAATGCATTTCATCCTACTAATATTTTTTTTAGTTTTAAAAATTATCGACCCTACTCTACATTAACAATAAAGTTATACACGAGTTTTGACCATGTTTGTGCAGTAATGACCAGATGAAATGTTAAAATTACTTTAGCATCATGTAATTTATAAGCCAGTATTCTGTATCTGGAATTTTCATGTCCATGTTACATTTCCTACATTAATATTCTATTAAAAAAGAACTTCTTTTAAAGCGAAACGTGAAATAAATGATTTTAGCCCCACGATTTAAAATGAAATTGTTAATTTGGTTTGTTAGCGCAGTTAGAGAAAAAGATTGTTTTATAAATTCAAAAAGCTCAATTTCTGGTGATTATTTGGGATAGAGTAGAGACCTAACGAAAATGTATCATATTAAAATTATCATAATGGATAATATGCAAAAAAAATGTATAATTTTTAGCAATAATATTAAAACGTTGATCAATATTGAATAATGATTCATCTGAAAAATATAAAATTAGGTAGCCTTAAAAAAGTTTGTCCTTCTAGAATATGTTCGAGAAAGGATGCCTTAACAAAAAATTATTCATTAATAATTCAAATTTTGCAGCAACTAAATAAATTTTCAGAAAAAAGGCGATGGTAACGATTGTAAAAATTTAATTAGCACGCAGAGAATTTATTAATAATGCTCGTCTTTTTTCTTCACTATAAGAAATCATAAATTTCACAGTTCTACAGCATGAAAATAATGACATGTCCAATTTAAATTTCACTTACAAGATTTTAACTAAAAAACATAAACACATACAAATTTGAAGTGAATAAAAAGCTAGTTTAATTAGATCAATTCCTTAAACTAGGGGCCTAATTCAGTTTTACCGCCTCGGGCCTGTGAAGCCCTTAGTCCGCCACTGCAGCACCGACGTCTTTTCCATTTCTATTGTCTTATAAGAATCACGCATATCGCTCGTTTATCAAGAGATTTTTCGCCCGCGTCTGTAGACTAATTAATATATTCTCCGATAGCCCAATTTAATCAAGTTCTTAGAACGAAAGTAATACGAAGAACTCGTTCATGCAAGTAATCGTAATTTGACTATGCTACGCTCGGATAGCGGGTTCGTGTTACGGGTTTCGTAACCCTTGTCTGTCTGTCTATAAAATTACAAATTTATAATCTATCTTTCAAAAATCCTCTAGTCTAAAAAGCCACTGTGAATAAACCGACTAAAAATTTTTGATATGAAGATTTATCATAAACGATACGCGACGGTGTTTTAATTGAAACAATCTGAAAACTGCGAGCAATGGTGGCCGTCAAATTCTAGCAACCTTAAAATCATGGTTGAATAAATACGTTTCAAAAAGTTTAAGCTTTAAAAATCGGTCGATTTTTAAAGCTCTGCATGTTCATGCATCTTTGAAAAGTCTGATTTGATTTGTTTGATGTTTAAGATATATGGTGTGTTAGCTCATTGTGTGAACTGCGGGCGTTCGTTTTTAAATCATTATATTCGAGCAACCTGAGTTCAATCCCCGGTGCTGGCACCAATGAAATTGTTAATTTTAAGTGCTGACTTATCACGTGCATATTTTTGAAATAATAACAAACAAAGTGTTCCGAAGATATGTGAAATCCGTGACTCCACAGTATCCGCGTGCCGTGGCTGCGTGGTACTGACGCAGGTGAGTACCACAGAGTGAGTACCTGCCACGATTGCTTTGGTGAGTATATGTCACTACTGTGGAGGTGATCGAGACTCCGCGCAACATACGCTCGCTGAGTGCCCTGCGTGGGATTCCGAACGACGGATCCTGGTCCGACCTTTCTCCACCAGTCGCTGCGTTGACGGAGAAGATATTTTGCTTAACGGGTGTTTAATGAAACACTTGTTACACTCACACTACACTGTTTTATTACACTTGATCACAACTTATAAATGCTTGTTAAAACGTACTGCCGTCACAACCCATACCGGCCGATACGTAATTATTACAAGAAACACTCGTTAGCGCGAGGCAAACATAAACCTAGCGCCCTCTCTTACTCAGTACATAAAACATACATATGATACATGCAGTAATTAATAAACAATTGAACAACGGGTGTCCAGAAAGAGATCGCCGACCGGGAAAGGAGAGGGCTGACCCCGCTCGGAGACGGCAACGCCAGGCCGACAGGGGCAGACGAGTTGCCCCCTCAGCCCAGTAGTGCCGGTCTCATAGAATAGGGCTAAGGTATCCCTTGCCTGTCGTAAAAGGCGACTAAAAGGGGACACGGATTGGCAGCAACTCGAAACGGCCTCGAGCTACTGCAAGACGGCGAGGGAATCGGGGAAGGTTTACCCGGAGTCCCTCCAAACGTACAGACGTGGCCACTGAAAGGTTTAGTGGGTAAGCACCCCACATATCCCCGTCATATAATGACAGGTTATCTTTCGAAGATTTTCCCCCGATACCAAAAAACTAAAAAGTGCCGCGTGTTGGACTGTGCCCTAATACCCTCTGGACAAAGGAGGCCTTTGCCTAGCAGTGGGACATGCACTCATATAGGCTGTTACTTAACTTTACTTTATAACATGGCGTGCGTTCTAGCGGTGGTAGGGCCACGCAGCAGCCTCGGCTATTGCACGAATGGGCAGGCTCGTCCGGGTAAGTACCACGACCTCACAGAAGACCGGCGTCAAGTGGAAGTATAATACTTTCACGTTTCGTCTGGTGAGTGAGGTGACCGGAGCCCAATTTTCAAAAGGTTGTCAACGCATCTGGAACTCTCGGGTGTAGCAGATGTCCATGGGTGGCGATATTCACTTAACATCAGGTGAACTGTCTGCTCGGTTGGCAACTTTTCACATAAAAAAAAATGACAAGAAAAAAAGAAAAAAGACGGGCTTATTGTAACCTTTTATTTTTTTGAAAAATTATAGAGAAATTTACGTTATTACGAAGAGTGGGACCTGCCTCTTTTGGTTAACGCGCCTAGACGGTCTAGCCATCCGGATAAGCGCAAGATATCCCCAAGATACAAAAATCTCAACATCTGTCTATTCGAAGATTATGTATTAATGGATGGAGTCTTATGGTTCACTTGAGATTTTGCTTAATGCTTTCTTTTATTCAAATTCGACGTTTGTTTGATTGAATTGAAACAAAGGGAAAACGCGGGAACTGTAACAAGCAAATGTAACAAGCAATATGCAAATAAGGCTATGTATTTGTTTGCCGTTTATTTTCAGAAAACAAAGCAGTATCGGATTGTTAAATACAGATAATTATGTACACTTGATAACCCGTGTACATAATTATCTGCTGCATTGCTCTAGTTTAATATGCAGTATGACTTATTGACTGATTGTCGTGACATAACTTATACGCATTTGGTGTTTGATTAAAAAGATATTGAATAAAAAAGTTCATACTTATAAATTTATTTTATTATTCCTGAACTACACAATGAAGTATAAAAAATTGCCAATAAAAAGTTAAATTCAAAGTGTACCTGCTCCAATAAAACTTGAACCATGGTTCCCTTTAACCCGTAAGAGAGAAATCTGCACAATGTATAAATATAAAACCTTGTTTTGAACATGGTAGTTATTATGTGAAAATTCCAATAATGACTCTAATTCCAACCCTTTTTGGGTTACGTGGCGCACTCAGCCAATAATAAAATAAGACCCTTCGTGCGCTTACCATTGATATACGCCGGCCACGTTTAACCTGTAATTAAAGATGGACATGAAAGGCAAATATTACGTTTGTTATTTATACAAGTTGAATAAATGGAGCTTAATCTAAAACTTGACCGAAATCGAGAGATACGAGTATCTTTACTCAATCAGAGTCAATGATACTTGTCCGCTAGAATGTGTATATACATAGAAAATATCCGACAAAGACCAATCGAATTGAGAACCTCCTCCCTTTG